TATCCTAACACGAGGCATCGTTGACAACACCAGTGCAGAAACGAAGTCGTCTATGGAATCAAGAGTGACACAGGAAGGAATGTTGAGGGCCTATACAGAGATGAAGTTGGTGGATGCTTTTATTGCACTACAAGGGGTATTGGAATCATGGACAAAGGAATTAGGATTTGGTGAGAGTAGGTGGGAGAACAGCATACAGATGAAACATGGACAAAGGAATTAGGATTTGGTGAGAGGTCTCTAACATACTGCTTCAATATAAACTTCGTCTTTCATGGTAATACCACTTCTTAATGTAGTAAAAATCCTTCCTAATTACATTAGGTCTGTTGGTTTGAGAGCTGGGGGGTTCAGACCTCTTTTAGTTGTTTACTTTCATTCTGATTTTCGTTTCTTTCTTTGCTCCTATCGGTTGAGAAAATTCATAATGTCGATGAAGGAAAGGGCGAAGGAGAAGCTTCTCTCTTCGGCTTTGAGATGTCAAAGTTCTGCTCTTCAGAGATTCTCATGTTGATGACAGTTCGATGATATATAGCCATGAAAGAGGAAACATGGTCAGCTGTCGACGGTTGCTTTTTCTCTATGTTTCTTTCCTCCCACCTCCGATAATTGCTTTTTCTCTTTGTTTCTCATACTCATGTCTATTCAAATTTTCAATCACAGTTCATAATCAAATCTGGGAAGGAACAAGTATGTCACTTTCTCAATCCCAACTCAGAAACATCTTGAGCAAGGAATAGGTACATTGTTTTCATCCCCATTTTGGTTTCGTTGGATTTCCTTTGAAGTAGTTTTCCCTCCTGCTGTTAATGTTCACATGTGCTCTTTCCTCTCCAATTTCCACAATTCCATTCATGTTGCTTCCTCCCGTCCAAATCCAGGACGGGGATTGCAAGCTGGGTTTGTTTTGTGATGACTGGCTTCAGTTTCTAGAATCTGGATGTTATGCTTCTGTTTTATGGTAGTGTCTAATGAAATCTGTTTTTCGCTTTATCCCCAGAAATTTTGCGTCCGTGTTCGCTTTTTGCATTGTTCATTTAGTTCTCTTATATGTGGTTTCATTTGAGCGTACCAAAAATCATTTTACTTGCCATTTCCATTTACTTGCTTTCTTTGCTACTCTAATTTACGGGTCCTCTTCTCCAGTTCCCAAGTATTAGAGTCTATAGTCCACTATTCGAACTGGATAGTGCTGTATGAATCTATATTTATGTTATTGCTCATTCTTTGAATCCTATTTGAAATGATTTGTACATGCCACCTGTAGAATCCACGAACGATAGCAACATGACAACATTTGGTGCAAACTTGGGGAAGCTGTAATAAGGCACCTCTTGACAGCAGCAAGAAGGTGGTGTGAAGGAGATCTGCGCGTTCTTGGAGCTTCTGATTGCACCTTCAACTACTGATGAAGTCCTAGATTTGGCAGCAGCTGGAGCACTGCTCCTAGCGCCCCAATTTCAACAAGTCTCGCTTTCATTCCCACCCATGCCGAGGTATTTGATTCTCTTGCTCCGTGGAAGCTAGCTTTTCTATTCCTCGATTGGCCTGAGGGTTTATGGTGCTCATGTTTTGATTTTTTTATTGATAGTGTAGTGTCAAGTTCTGAACCGTGAGGGTGGTTAATTGTGCAGGGATTTACCAGGAATTGAATATGTTTTTGTCTTGAGAATTTGTTTGGATTGTAGTCAATTAGATTATGCTATTTGGTTGCAATCAAATTCATGGAAGCATGCAATGGTACTCATGTGATCAGAATTATTGGTCTAGGACTTCGGAGTTTGCGAGTGAAACCAGCAAGTATTATTTTTCTGTTACTGTTTGTGGGGTCTTTCATTGTACCCAATGGTATACTGCTTGTGCGTAGTGAAAGTTGCTTACCAAAAGTTCTGTTTTGTAATTGCGAACTTATATTGTACGTCTTTGTTTGCATGTTCAATGCTCTCTACAGGTTGCAGGCTGTGTGTACATTTAGCCTTCAATTTCAATAGATAACAGAATTTGGGTTTGTGACTTTACGAAATAATTCTTTCATTTTGCAATGCTTAACATCATATATATGTTGTTCTTATCCTTTATAATCCCATTGCTCCATACAGGTGAAAGATCACACCAGACATCCATCAGCATCATCTTCTGCTTTAGTGGAACTAATAGTACTCCTTAAATTTGTCAGGAAAGCTATCACACGTCATGGACCAGCTCCGCAGTTTCGATTTAAACTATGACACAATGACCTCTTACTGTATTTGAATATAATTTCTTTTTCCTGCATGGTGGCGATAGTGAAGTGATGCTGCAGATTACAAATTTAGATGAGGAGATCAAGTTGGTCAGAGCTGGTTGATTTCAAGCCACGAAATTTGATAAGATAAGTATAATTAGCAAGATGAGAATCTATGTGGCCATCATTTATCGGTAAAGTTCGAATGCCTCATGATTACAACTGTTATTCTACTGAATTAAAGGTTTACATAACTAGGGCCGGTGATTTGGCTGAGTGGATGGGCCGTTGGGGCTACTGAATTTGGATGCTCATAAAAAAAAAACACGCAGCCAGGTTTATCATCCCGTCAAGGTTACTACGGTAGACCAGCTGTGGAGCTATTTATACTTCCATAATCAGATTCTCCAATTTATTATTTCAGTTCTGATTGTCCTGCTGTGTCACAAGGATTCGAACAGGTGCTGCAAGCCTACAACGGCTAATTTGAATGAAGAACTTGGATAGGTTGATGGTGTGCTACCTGACAAATGCTTTGCATACATGAAAGAAGTTGAGTAGTAGCCTTCGAGGTCTGAAGTGAAGGAAACCAAGGAGATCTTGAAGCTGCTCGAGCTATTGATGAAGAGGTTGGTAAACCTGCCAGGAGAGTCGGTCTAATAAGTTCAATCGACTTATTGTTAGATTTATCAGGTTTCATGTAGTTTTTTGCCTGAGATATCCGCCCTTTTTGTTTATGTTTATAAATAGGTGTCTGCAATTGAAGTTGCTATCAATGGTGGAACAAAATTTGCAGAAGATGAATTTGTTGTCTCAACAGAACTACTGGTGTGGCAGAGTTGCTGAAATTGGATACTAACCAGTCTGAAGGAGAAGCTCCAGTTCAACGGAAAGACCAGCCAGCCATAACTAGAAACCAATGGTAGGTTCTTTGATTAGATTGATACATTTATTCTTGAGTTAAATAACTGGAAATCCAACAACTCTTGAAATACAACTTCTTGCTATGCTGAAGTTTTTATACTTTTGTTCACACCTTTTACATTTTCATCGTAGTACAAGGCGAGACAAACTCCAATTACTTTCTCCTCAACCACGATGCAGCAGCCGCATTATTCCAAGAATTTCGTTTGAGGTGCGTACTCGACCTCTACACCTCAAACGAGTTGGTCGCCATGAAGTTATCAGGACGTGGTATCGCCATACACGACCATGTCGAACAACAAGGCTCTTCACTTTACAACAATCGATTACCTGAATTCCGCTTGGTTTCACAATCCTATGATGTAACATTCCCTTTTTTTGTCAGATTGTCTGGCTTTGCTTAAATTCGCAAGCATTGTCCTCCCTATAACTAATGCCTTAATCTGCCTGCTTGACCACTTCCTGGTACCGTTTTTACAGTCCTTTTTTCCCTTAAACCAACAAAGTGCTTGCCTGCCTAACTAACTTTGCTCACCTGTTTTATTTCCCTGCATGCTACACAATACCGTTGCTTAGCACAAGTCCTCCCTGCAAAGTCTTCACGAACGTGGTTTTACTTAGGATGTGCCTTTTGTTTTAAGACAACTAGGGAGTTTCCTGGCACTAATGATTTTTGGTGTGATGAACATGGCCAGTTGATACCTAAAGAAACCCAAAATTGGTTATTTTAGCATCCAGCGTTTTTTCCCACATTACAATACCCACGAACAACTGAACCCTGAATTTCTAATACATTTTTCCAGCTACAAAATCAATTTGATTCTCGGAGACACTATTGGTTCGGCGTGCTTTATCATACTTGGAAAGACCGCTGAATATTTGCTTGGGATTACAGTTGATGAACTATTAGTGCGTCACCCCCAACACCATGGATATTTTCCTACAGAAATTGTGGCCATGAATGGATGCTGGTTTTCGTTTGATGTTCAACTTCCTAAACCTGGATATTTGCCTGAAACCCCTCTAGACTTTACCATCCTTTTTGCAGTCGACCACAGCCCGCCTCAGCAATAGACTCATCAAAACAGTCCTTACCTGTGAAAAAAGTAATTGTGCTAAGATGTTGACAAACATAAATCTTTTCCTGTATCTATCCAGGGAAAAAATTAATAGGCAAAACTCTGATCAACTATCTACCATATTACCTCTGCTCTTGTGAGTGCTTGCATGACATGCAATTATGCTTTTCGACCCTCCTGCCTATTTAACTAACACTCCTTTTGTACTGCTGTTTGAAGTTTCAAGGGGAAATGCAAATATCTCCACAAATTTCAAGTAGCGGTTAGGTAACTTTCACTTACCCCACCATCACCAAATGACACTCTTCTAAACCACATCCAATGCAAAACAGCAAAATATTTAAGCTGTACTTTCCAAATCAATAAATCTAACACCAACCAATGTGTCTTGCTCCATTATATGGTAACACCCGCCTTACAATATTTAATAAGTTTGTGTATCTGATATGCACAGAAAAACTATTAACGTGCACAAAAATCTCCAAATTTCAACTGAAAACTCTACATTTTCCCAATATAACCTCCCCGCCGCGAAGCGCGGGCTTCCTTCCTAGTACAAGTTAAAGGACAGCTCATGTAAGGAACGGGAAAAGGAGGGACCTTGCTATGATCTTCAGAGTATTAAACCGAACCTGCAGGGCAAAAGATATGATCTTTTAGGACTTCTGTGAGAAAAGAGCACACATAAAGGTTCAGTAAATAGTATATACAGGTGAAACCATAAGATAAAGGAGAGAAGAAGGCAAAGGAGATAAGGGCAAACGGCAAACAACATGGAGAGCTTTGGAATGAAGGATGGTAGCCAAATGAAGAGCACATCAACCACCTTTGGCTTGATACGCAGGGGAAATGCTTCTGATATGGAGAAGATGAAGCCTCACTTCTTCAGAGTCATGCTTGATTTCATGCTGAAAGATGCCAAAATTGTAAGAATATTTTCCAACTTTCCCTGCTAGTATGTGATCATTTTCCCTCTCTACCTGTTTACCTTAGTATGTCTCTATGTGATCAACTCTAACTTTCACTGCTGTATATTCTGCTGTTCTCAATACGCAAGGTGATATTGTGGTTTTCAGGCTTGAGCAAGACAGCTTGTTTCTTGTAATGGTGTTCGATCCCACTGCGAGTGAGAAGTAGTACAATTTCAAGCATGTAAATGAGTTTGAAAGGCTGTTCAATGATGTCAAAGTTGAGGAGGGAATTGATGTGGGGAAAGAGAAAGGCCATAGGGAAGGTCAGAAGAATGTTGGAACTGGAAGAATTGCGGAATTTGACGGTATGAATCTATTGAGAACAGTTAAAGTCTAAAAGGTTTAAGTCAGAAATTTGTTTGTCCATTTAACACCATCTATTGCAGGAAAGCTCAAGCAAGTGAAGAACAAGAAGGGTGGTGCAGAAGAGAAGAGAAAGGGGAAACTGGCTTTTCCAGTTGAGACCCCAAATCATCCAATGGGAACAAAAATGAGAGGTAACATTTAGGTCTTCCACATTGCCGTCAGTTTTTAGGAATTTCCTAAGTAGGTAGTTCTGCGTCAATAGAGTTAGAGTTGAATGCTTGTATTCTCATTTGATGATGCACTTTACATATGCTTCCACAGGCTCAAACCCTCGGTTGAATTCGATGTAGCAATACCGGAACCAAGGAGGGATAATGCCTTCACAGTTGGAGAGAATCCAAACTTCTCCATCACCATGAGTGAATATTACATGAAGCATCGCTTCATGGTAGGTTCATTCATTCCATCAAACGATTTCACCTTCATATTTTCCAAGCAAGTTACAAATAACCATATTTGAAGGCTTTCTCTATCCCTTTGAATGTGCAGCATCTGCCGACAAATTTTGTGTTCGAAAACATGATGCCTGAAAATCGTACTGTGATGGTTTTCGGTGATGAGGGGCTCGGCTCGTGGCCCTTGTCCTTTGCCTTTTTATCCGCGAAGTGGTCATGGACGTGAACAGGGCACGTTTAATGGCGGGTGGCCCGCTTTCTCCAGGGACAACTCTCTCAAACCAGGGGATGTTTGCCGGTTTGAGCTCATCTCCGATGGCCAAATGAAAGTGACTATTCTGAGGGGTTAAGGACGATTGATTTGCTGGAGTTACTGTCAGTCTGGAATGGGAATTTGTTGTGCCTGCCACCTTGAGTGGTTATCGATGATTATGAGACTACTGGTTTTTAGTTTAGTGGATGAATGGGATGGTATAATCTTGATTTGAGAAGTGCCAATGCTTCGGGAAGGCTTTTGTTAGTCTGGTTGCATTTGGTTTAATCTAAAGACTATTGCTTTAATACCTTATTTAGACCCATGATTACTGTTGGTTCTCCGCAACAAGCACTTACATAACCAAATTCGATTGTCTTTTGCTTATGCACCTCCACCCTCGTATCATCATTCATGTTTGACAGTGCTACACCCATGATTACCTTATTTAGACCCATGATTACTGTTGGTTCTCATGGATACTCTGTTCTTTCTGTATTCTTTTTGTTTGTTGTTGATTCTCTACGGTTAGAGAAGTATTGTATACCATTTTTGGACGTGCAACTCACAATGGCTATCTAGTTTATGTTGATGATATAATCATCACTGAATATGGAAATCCCAAACTGTGTGTTTCCCCGAAAAAACCAAATGCCACCGCCGGTGCCGAATTCGTTCCCGGCGATGTTGATTTAATATTTCACGGTGGAAACTCTTGCGGTGCCGATTGAACGGATGCACCACTGTCTTCTGACCAAATACCACCGTCGGCGTGCCAAGCGACGATGTTGATTTGATCGAATTGATGCGCCACTGACTTCTAATCAAGACGACTGTGACTACGGTTCACACCTCTCCAAACTACGTTCGAACGAGGGTGTTTGAGTTTTTGAGGAATCTACGTTACGACTACTCTTATGGAGATTCCTGTGGAGAGCTCCGCGGCTACGCTACGACTATGACTATGGAGATCCTTCCTGGAAGGAGAGCTCCGCTAAGGAGTTACAGAGAAAAAGATAAGTTTGACAGAGTTGTTCTGTGTTGATTTTTGGTTTCCTTCCTCTCTCCTTGCTCTGTTGCCTTTATTCAAAAGCATCTTCGTAGTCTTCACGCTCTGTGGAACTGCTTCCTCAACTGCCTTGATCTCCTCTTTCTGCTTTGTGTAAAAGTCACGTGCACACACATCAACTTTGTACCATGGTTCGAATCACGATACCGCCATCGATTAAAACAACATTGTTGTTTCACCCTCGTCACTGCGTACTCGCCGCTAGATTGTTGATCTCTCGGCGTCGTTGACCACACAAAGTCGATGGCCTTCGTTGAACTCCACGATGTTGGCTCTGCGGCATCATTGAACTTCGCGGCATTGTCGCACTAGCAATGCCGCTAGATTCGCGACCGCGACATCTCTCTCCACCGCACTGTTGTTTAGCTCGCGGCTTTATCCACCACCGCGGTATTGCTGATTCCTCACACGATATCGTTTTCAAGCTCCGCGGTGTCGTTTTCTTCTCCAAACAGCTCCGTTTGTTTTTTTTTTTTTTCCGCGACATTGTTTAAATATTTAAACACTGTCGTTTGCTAGTACAGCGGTACCGTTGGGCTTGCTCGCGGTACCGTTTTTAATTAAACGACACCGCTAACATAACCAAAAAAAATATCAATTCATGGAACCGCCGCGAGTCTGCACTCGCATTGGGCTGGCGAATTTTGGTCACTTACCTAATATGGTTTTTTATTTATTTAATCGGTACCGCTTACCAGGCTCTCGCGGCATCGTTATTAAATCCGCGACACCGTTTTAACTCTCCGCGATGCCGCTTATCTCCATGCGGTACCGATTTTCCCCTTCCAACAAGGAATAAAAATATTAATTAATTGTAAACAAAACTCCTTCTCCAACACCAACTAAACGCGCGGCCCCATCTTATTTTCCGCCGTTGTCGTTGTCTGTGTCGCGGTACCGCTGAGCTTCCTTGCGGTACCGCTTTTCTGTTTCGCGGTACCGTTTTAACTCTCCGCGACACCGCTCAACTCCAAACGACACCGTTTTTTCCCCGCGGCATCGAATTTAGGCAAAAAATATTTTAGGTGTAAACAATGCCCCCCACAACTTAGTTTATAAGAATCAATTCTTATGAACTAAGTTGTTAACCCAACTTAATCACCTAAAATATTAAACAAATTGCAACTCAACCACTAAAAATTCACAAGGCAGCATTGCCAAATTAGTCACAGCTACCAAGTTACATGTAACCATTATTGCCCCCAAGCCACTAATTTGGCGGAAATCCCACCTATCTCAGCATGGCCATGTAAAGTTGCAAACTTTGTCCTTTTTGCTGTAAAATATCTCTCGACATTGCAGGTCACTGCCGCACCGTGGCTTGCCATATGTTCTCTCCAAAGCATTATTGCGGCGAGAACTTAGGCTAAAAAAAAACCAAGTGTGATCCTCTCCAAACAGGGTTGTTCAAAGGAACAAGGAAGATAAATAAAAATACCACAGCGTCGAAAACTAAACAACAGTGTTGTTTGAGCCAAAAACAACAACGTTGTTTCTCGATTGCTATTTTTATTTTTCTATTTAAAATTGGCTTATTCGCAGAAAACCAATATATCTTCCGTAGCGCCACCTAGGGATGGCAAAAATATCCGTAACCGTGGATATCCGCCCGAATCCGACCTAATTGGGTAGGGTAAAACCCGAACCCGAATGACTTTTAGTGGGTATGGGTAAAACCCGAACCCGAATATTGCGAGTAATGGGTGGACATGGTTTTCTCACTATCCAACCCGAACCCGCCCGATTATACACAAGCATATGTATTTTGTCTAGAAATAATCAATATTTTTCTCTAACATATTTTTTGTTTAGCATATAAATATAATATTTTTTTGAAATTTTGTTGTCTTAATTAATTTTGTTCATTCTAGTGAACATTTGTCGTACTTTTCGTCTAACGTAACGTGAGAATACGTGTGAATATTATTATATTGGTTGAAGTTATAAAGAGAAACCATTACCCATGGTTAACCGTGGATACCCGAAACCCGAACGGGTATGGGCATGGTTTGAATTTTCTACCCGTTTCTTATGTGGGTATGGGTATGGGTAAAACCCGAACTACTTTGGGTAGGGTAACGGATATGCACTATCCGTCCCCGACCCGACCCATTGCCATCCCTAGCGCCACCAAAGTTCTGCAACACTGTTTGGGTAAACGACAGTGTTGGTTATTTTATTAATTTTTTTTTATTATTTTATTATTATTATCCGAGCTGTTGCTCTCCTCATGCAAATTTTTTTTCTATGCAGGGCTGTTGGACGCAGCGCTGGGAGTTCCCCTCATCAGCGCTGTTTTGGCCGCCTCTACTTCCTTTTTTTTTTTAATTCTGGCCTGTCAAATTTCCGCCAGCGCTGAGACTTTTTTTTCAGGGCTGTTGGGAACAGCCGCAGGGTTGGGAGTCTCTCTTTTTAAAAATTTTTTTTTTATATCTTTCCGCCAGAGCTGTTGGGAAACAGCGGCAGAGCTGAAATTTTTTTTTTTTTCGCGGCTTCTTTGCCCGGAACTGAGAAAATATATATGTTTTATTTATTTTATTTTTATCAGCGCTGCTAGCACCAGCCCTGCAAATTTTTTTTTTATATTATTCTCCGCCAGGGCTGTTTGCAACAGCGGCAGAGCTAAATTTTTTTTTTTTTCCTCGCAAAGTTACGATAAACTTCACAAAGCTGTTTGCACTTTCTCTCTCTTCCGCAACATTGCGGAGTTTGGCTCGCAAGCCTTTTTTTTCCATGGTGGCTCGCAAGCCATTCTTTCAGCAATGCTATTTGCCAAACAAATTTTTTTTCAGCCGTATTGTCTTGGCAACATTTATTATTATTATTATTATTTTTAAATAAAACACTTTTGTTACAACAGCGTTATGCATCCCTCCAACACTATTGAGAAAAGAGAAAACAACACTGCTGACCATCTTGAACTACCGCCAACAACGTAGTGGCTTCTTCTTAACAATGCCGCTTGATTTATATATATATATTTTTTAACATATTGTGTGGCTTAATTTAGCCACATTATTTTTTTATAGCTAAATAAAAAAACAAGCTAGACTTTGGCATAAACCATCACGCCAAAGGTCCAGACCCACTGCCAACTCCATGGATCGAACCAAACAAGCCATCCGTGAACGCCATTACTCTTCACAACTGGCTTTACACACGACCGAGAAGTTTTGAAGTCGGTGCTGGATTGAAACTTTTTAGCTCGTCTATCTCGATCATCCTTGTTTGAGATCCTACAAGCTTGACTTGGCTTTACTTCAGCCATAAGTTTTGATCGTTGACATGAAAAATCATCGGTATTTTTCGCTCTTGGCAAGACATTCACATTTTTTGACATCTTCGTCTTGCCAAGTCGACCATGCCGCATTGCCTGCTCAGACTGGTCCGATTTTGTCAGTTGTACACTCTCACAATGTTGTTGGGAGTTTGAGCATCGAGATTTACTAGCTCCATCAACACGTGTGTTGGTATTTTGTTTACCACGACCATGATCTTTGCACTTATCGCACAACAACTTTGCATATTTTGAACTTCCACGTGAGTTTGGAGTTTGTTTGGCATTGGCCTTGCCCCCCAGACCACCACTCATGGATTTGTTCCCAGCCAGCACTGGTGTGGCAACCCTATGTCGGGCTCGATTAAACTTGCCCCCCTTTCCACTCAGTGGAGCCTTTGGTGACAATTTACACGAAGGAATCGGTTGAGCAATACCAACTTTCGCAGCATTGAGTTTTTTCACGTGATCACCACCTCCATCTTGAGTAGTGTCTGTGGTGACCCTAGTTTGACTTTTCCTAGAACAAGGTGGATGTGGCAAACTTATTTGCCACTTACGGTGTTGTTTCTCCTTCAATCTACCACGAGATGGGATGGCATGCCCCCCGAGCGGCTTAGGTTGAACAACATTGTAAAATTTATCATCTTTCAAGATATCACAGTTGTTCTTCCTAATTTTATGAAACTTATTATAAACACGTTTAAATTTTGTTCTTTGTTGTGGCTTTCGCAAGACCGCTCTAACTTTCCAGTCCTTCAAAACAATAGTGTTCACAGGAGAACCAACATGAGAATTGCTGGGCCCTAACGCCACTGTTTTAGCCACAAGTTTAAGTGAATCCTTATTGGCAATACCGGAAACATGTTCATCTATCATCTCAAAAAATTTATCCATATGTCTTCCAAGAGAATCACAAGGCTTATTTAAAGAGATAAAATAGAGATGTACCTGCCGGTAATACTCTTCTACAGATCGACGAAGAGACAGGAGTGCAACATGCCCATCGATGCTTGACATGGATTGGGGCCGCTCCTTCATCCAACTGATATGTCTATCTGCCTCCTCTGCTTGGTCAACTTCAATGCCGACCACACGCTCCACCTTCACAGATTCTTGTGGAAGATCAACATTGTTTTTTCCATGCCGCAGAGCCATATTTCACTTCAAACACACGTATCCCACCGGGCGTGCCAAAATGTTTCCCCGAAAAAACCAAATGCCACCGCCGGTGCCGAATTCGTTCCCGGCGATGTTGATTTAATATTTCGCGGGGGAAACTCTTGCGGTGCCGATTGAACGGATGCACCACTGTCTTCTGACCAAATACCACCGTCGGCGTGCCAAGCGACGATGTTGATTTGATCGAATTGATGCGCCACTGACTTCTAATCAAGACGACTGTGACTACGGTTCACACCTCTCCAAACTACGTTCGAACGAGGGTGTTTGAGTTTTGGAGGAATCTACGTTACGACTACTCCTATGGAGATTCCTGTGGAGAGCTCCGCGACTACGCTACGACTATGACTATGGAGATCCTTCCTGGAAGGAGAGCTTCGCTAAGGAGTTACAGAGAAAAAGATAAGTTTGACAGAGTTGTTCTGTGTTGATTTTTGGTTTCCTTCCTCTCTCCTTGCTCTGTTGCCTTTATTCAAAAGCATCTTCGTAGTCTTCACGCTCTGTGGAACTGCTTCCTCAACTGCTCCGTCCTGAAATCCCACGTGTCTCAACTGCCTTGATCTCCTCTTTCTGCTTTGTGTAAAAGTCACGTGCACACACATCAACTTTGTACCATGGTTCGAATCACGATACCGCCATCGATTAAAACAACATTGTTGTTTCACCCTCATCACTGCGTACTCGCCGCTAGATTGTTGATCTCTCGGCGTCGTTGACCACACAAAGTCGATGGCCTTCGTTGAACTCCACGATGTTGGCTTTGCGGCATCATTGAACTTCGCGGCATTGTCGCACTAGCAATGCCGCTAGATTCGCGACCGCGACATCTCTCTCCACCGCACTGTTGTTTAGCTCGCGGCTTTATCCACCACCGCACTGTTCTTCTCCAAACAGCTCCGTTTGTTTTTTTTTTCGCGACATTGTTTAAATATTTAAACACTGTCGTTTGCTAGTACAGCGGTACCGTTGGGCTTGCTCGCGGTACCGTTTTTAATTAAACGACACCGCTAACATAACCAAGAAAAAATATCAATTCATGGAACCGCCGCGAGTCTGCACTCGCATTGGGCTGGCGAATTTTGGTCACTTACCTAATATGGTTTTTTATTTATTTAATCGGTACCGCTTACCAGGCTCTCGCGGCATCGTTTTTAAATCCGCGACACCGTTTTAACTCTCCGCGATGCCGCTTATCTCCATGCGGTACCGATTTTCCCCTTCCAACAAGGAATAAAAATATTAATTAATTGTAAACAAAACTCCTTCTCCAACACCAACTAAACGCGCGGCCCCATCTTATTTTCCGGCGGTTCCGTTGTCTGTGTCGCGGTACCGCTGAGCTTCCTTGCGGTACCGCTTTTCTGTTTCGCGGTACCGTTTTAACTCTCCGCGACACCGCTCAACTCCAAACGACACCGTTTTTTACCCGCGGCATCGAATTTAGGCAAAAAATATTTTAGGTGTAAACACGGTGTGATCGTCGCTTTTCATATCCACCACAATCCACATTGTATATGGGATAAATTCCTGAATCTGCTTGAACTGACAACTGGTAGAGACCTTTGCACCAGTTGCAATTATGGAATCAGTTTCAGCATGTCTAAGAGTGGGATCTTGGCCAACTTGATGCATAAACATGATATTTGATCAGCATTTCTTGCATTGTCAAGGAAATAGCTTTGTTCCTCGTTGGTTACTGCTACAAATGATGCATTCTAGCAGCCACTTTCGGTCGAGTCCGAATCCATTTTCCCATTTAAAGGGTCATGTAGCTTTTGTCATCTGATAGAGTTGGGTGACAGATAAGTGTTGAACATAATTGTGTGGCCGCAAGAGGACCTCAGGGAAGCAATAGTGTGCTTTCCTAGTTGTGTTTTCCAACTGAACCATGTTTGTTTGCCTAGAACTGGTTTCACCTTGCGTGATCTATGTGACAACGTGTTAGATTTCATGATCTCATTTCATTTCCATTTTTTTCGAGATCGATTGCTTATTCAGGCGACTGGAGACACGAAGATTTCTGCAGCTAGTCGGGATCCGTTTATGTACTGTGTTTCAAATGAAGCTGTGTTTGTGTTGGAGTTCCTTGTTCTCGGTCAAATTGTTGACAAGAAAAGAAACCGAGGAATATATAAATAGTTTCATCTCTTCCATTTGGGCAGGAAATACAGGTCAAGTACTGTCTTCAAGGTGCGAAATGGTGGGTTGTAATTGGTCAACAGATCTGTGTCTCTGCAACAAAGGGAAGAGTATGTAATCATGCTGTAGAAGAATACTTTAAAATCGGTACGGTATCCCAATACCAAATACCGAAATCCCAAATACCAAATTATACTTTAAAATCAATCCCAATCTCAATCCCTAAATAATTTCGGTATCCCAATCCCAATCCCTAAATAATTTCGGTATCCCAATCGGTACCTCGGTTCCCAATCGGTATTATCGAATACATAATTAATTACCTTTACAATTAATAATTAAATATATAAATTAGATTTTATTGTTTAGTTTAGGGCAAAGAGACTAAGCAAATAGTCTTGAGTTGCCTAGAGCTAACATCTCAAATTCTTGTAATTGATAATCTTTAATTTGACGAGTTTGAGGTTGAGAGACGACTAATACTAGTGTGAAATAGTGATATAATGATCTATGAATAATTAAATGACGAATTTGGTGGTTGATGGTCGCGTAGTAGTGAATGAGAGAGTCTAGTAGAGAGGATTAAATACACACTAGCTTATATTTCGGTATTGATCGGTATTTCGGTATATACCGATCCCAATCCCGTAATCCCTAATACCAAATAACAATTGAAATTCAATCACAATTCCAATCCCACAAAATAATACGTGTATTCGGTAATACCAAATATAGACAAATTCGGTACGGTATTCGGTATATCCCAAATACCGGTACCAAACTTCCAGCCCTAAATACTGGAATGGATTAATGATACTGCTGAGTGCTGAGAGATGATGGCCAAATAAATTATTGTAATGAAGCTCAATACGTTTACAGGAGTAGTCATGGAAAGGACAGCTCCTTTTCTCTCTCTTTTATTTGGGACCACAGCAGATCTGCTACTGGAGTTACTGCTCTCTTGGAAACAGTATGGAAAACTTAAAAGTTTCATGGTAAAAGAAAGGCAAAATACACTTCTATATCCATAACTTTCACCTTTGTGACAAATATATCCATAACTATCGAAATACATGAAATACCCAGAAAATTGTACTATCGTGTGACAAATCTATCCATTTCCGTTTCAAACTCTAACGCCGTTTGTTATGGCGTCAGTAAATGTAACGGAACAGTGAGTAGGACCATACCCATCTCCCACCTAAGCTCCACGTCAGCAAATTTTTCCACGTGGACGCCATGTCATCAATTTTGCCCCCTTACAGTCGAGGACTCCCTTCCCACCCCCTTTTTCTCAAACTCGAATTAGGGTTCCTACCTTCTTTCTAATCGGCTGCGCTGGAGAAGAGCTTGCTGCCCGCCGCCGCCGATCCAAGGGTTCCCTCCGACAGCAACCCTCACCGTGCCCTCAGTTAACAATCTGTCATTTCCCAAGTTTCTTTTAAAGCTCTTCCTTAGGTTTGAATTGCTATTACCTTGTTCTCTTGGATAAGTGTGGAGTGCAGGAAATGCAGCGACGTGAGCTGCTGCTGCTGAGGCAGCGGCGGATTCCTGGGCTGCATTTTGAATAGTATCCCAGTCGAGGTAATGGTATGCAACACCGCCAGCGGCGGGCACCTCTCACTCGCCGGGGAGAAGTGGGTTATTCTGATTTCCCTGCCGGAAACCAGTATCTCGTCAATTACCCTGTTCTTGTTCCTCAAGTTGAAGCTCTTGTTCTCTCCGTCCACCACCACTTCTCCTTCCTTTTGCTGCGCGTAAATCTCTACTTCCCCCATCAACTCCTCCCCTCTATACACCACCGCCGATTTCGCCATCATCTCTTCACCGACAAAATCGGTCAAGGGGGTTTCGATTTCCTTTCTTTTAAAGCCTAGGTTTTCAGTGGAGACTTGTTTCCTTTTTCAAGCGGTCAAATCCCAAAAGTCAGTCAATCGGAAACCCAAGTCTCGTCATCGTCCTGGCCTTCGTCCACATCGAATCGATCGACAAGTTTCTCAGCAGAGAGAAAGAAAACAAGAGAAAAGGAAAAGATGGAAGGGGGGGAAATTTTCCTTTTAAGGCTCAAATCGTGTTTAAGGATTAAGATGCTAGTAATATGATTCGATGACGAAAAAAAAGGTTGTCGGCGACGGCGGGGGTGGGAGGGAAGCGGTGGAGCTAGGGTTTTCGATCTGTGAACTGTTGTTTGTATGTGTCTCTGTTCAAGCTGTGATGTTAAGGCTTTAAGCTGCTGGTGGTGGAGGAAAGTGTCGACGACGAGGGGCCGGGGAGAAGAGAAGCGGAAGGGAAAACCCTAGATCCAGATTGCGGAAGGGAAGAAAGGGAGATGAACGAGCAAGAGGGTTGGAGAAGAAAGTGAAAATGGTAGGCTAGAGTGGTTTTCGGTGTTTTATTCTTCTTTTTTTTTTTGTCCACGTGGATTAGTGGGGACGCTGACAACGCCAACTCAGCCTTCCCGTCAGTACAGTCATCCATTTACTTAACGCCGTTAAATGGAAGATCGAAATTGGGTATTTCATGTATTTCGATAGTTATGGATATATTTGTCACAAAGGTGAAAGTTATGGATATAGAAGTGTATTTTGCCTAAAAGAAAGAAGGTGAAAGTAAATTGAGATATCCTAAAATGAGTACAAGTTCAGAAAGCTGCCAGGTTTCAAGAGTATCCCTTCAGGGCAAAGCTATTGTCTGTAAGACAAATAATATACCTACTGCAGACGACGGAAATGAACTTCAGCATAGCTTTAGAACTACAACCATAAGGTAGAGCAGGAGAGAAGAAAGGTGTAATCGAGAAAGAACTCGATCTATTTGGGAATTAGGGTTCGAAGAGAGAGAGAGTTTCAGAGAGGACGAGTTCCAGAGAGAAGGGGAAGAGATCGATTTGGGTGAATGGGAATGACTGAGTCTCTCGGTTTGGGTTATATGAAGTGGGCCAAAGTCTTGAACCGGCCCAGGTTTAAGGAACAGAATCAGTTGGGCTTGGTAAGACTATTGAGAGTCTTTCAGCCCAACACTTCCTTTAGTTACAACCCAAACAGCAGAGTAGCAACCCGACCCAAGTGACAGAGTCTCAACTCTGCTGCTCAGCTACACAGCGTCGAGAAGAACAGAGTTCTGGAAAACAGAGTGCAAGAGTAGAGCAGAAATGGAGAAGACACAGTCCGTTTTTTAACGTGGTTCGCCCAAGTGCAATGGTGTACTTCCACGTCCCAGAATATGGTCTGGGAAACCTTTTATTGAAGAATAAATCGCAACCACAAATTAACACAGAACACGCAAGAAGAAGAAGTAAACAAAATGAACAAAGAAAAGCCTTTCTGCCTTGACACCAGTTGAACCTTTGCCTCAACTTGTGTCAACCCTTTTGCAAACCTAGTGCTATGCCCTTTACCGCAATAGCTCCTACAAAAGTAATCCCAACATTATCAAACATTCGAGTATATATAGACTTCTCAATCAAGGGACTAGCCGTTGGAAGCAGAGAAGGTAGGTTCCCAATCAAGCCTATAATTTCCTTAAGTGAATCCAGTGATTGAGCTGCAAAATGGCAACGGTTAGAAATAGACAATCTCCAACTTGATTCAATCCGCTGATTTCAACAATCTCCCCCTAAGTTGGAGGATTGTCGATTGCCTATTCCCTGCATACATAAAGCACATCTTTCCACCAAGTAATATGTCAAAACGAACCAGTTGAGGACTCAGACCGAGAAGAAGATTTTATTCAAACGGAGGAGACACGACATAACTGCTTAAACAAAAGAGCCTAAAAGAAAACACCACAAACAACTGACTCCCCTTAACAATTCAAACATACCACCCAAGGCAAAAACTCCTAACAAACTGACTCCCCCTAAACAGTTCACCTCACAGGATTCCAGAAAGATTCAAGGATCAGAGCTATCGCTAGAGGAAACTGCATATGACTGAGCAGGAACAGGGGAGTCTGATCCTTCAGCATCAGAGCCATAGAGATCATGCAGAGCAGCTGCAAAAGATGGTAGAGCAGATCAGATCCTTCAGGGGCTGCTCCTTCAGCTTCATCTTCTTCCGAGTCACTGCTGAGCCAATGTATGAAGGGTCCCTCCCCCTCAATCGCAATCCCGATTTCTTCTAAAACATCATTCGCATGAAGCCAAAGGGAAGGGGATTCAGTGCGATAGGCTGAGAGGTTCAGTGGCAGAGCAAGCAGCAGGCGAGTGATTATTGCTCCAAAAGGAAGAGGTGCATGGAAGTTATGATCAATAAAAGGGAGAAGAGCACCAAACAGAAGATATGAGAAGTCCAGAGGTACACCAGCAGCAGCATGAGCTAGGATCCAGAGATCCGGGGGAAGAACACGATCAAGAAATGTGACACGAGGTAGAAACACTTTGGTCAGGATATAGTGAAAGGCTTGCAGCGAAGGGGACAGAAGACCAGAGGAAAAGGTAAGATCTTGATCTGGTTCATGACCAGTCAGATGAACAGCCTCAGTAGTAATGTTGAAGTTGAAACGAGGGAGTTCATCAGGACGAGCTAACGCTTCACCAAAGGCAGGAATGTTGAGAAGGCGACTTATATCAGGAAGCGGAAGGGTCATCATATGGCCATGGACAAGGGAACTTATGGTGCGGGTGTGAAGACCAAAGTACCTCAGATTTGAGTAGAACACCCTAACAGCTTCAGGACATATGAGAGTTGATGAAAAATCTGGCATGAGAAGAAATTCCCAGCCGAGATTATAAATATAAGGCATGATGTCTAAGCCGAGGGGTGCAAAATCAGGAATGTGGACAACAGTGGTGGGATTGATAGGGCGATTAGCAAAGGATTGAGTGTGACGATGGTAGTTGGCTAGGACAGGCTCATGAAAATGCACTCCTGAGTAGGTCAAGGCAAAGGCATAAATCATGGCTGACTAATAGGAAGGAAAAAAAACTCACTAGGACATACGAAAGACTGAGATTACTCAGTACTTTAAAAAGACAGAACCAGACGCAAAAAAGGAAATTAAATCAATCAATTAGACAGAAAAAAAACAAGGAATGAAAAGATGCCAGAAATAAAAAGGAAAGCAGAATACAACAAACAAGGTAACCTAGCCAAGGCTAGACTTCATTAGCAGCAGTAATCGAGGAAAGAGATCGCAGACCAATCTCACAGCAAAGGAAATTGAAACGATCAGAGGACAAGGGTTTGGTAAAAAGATCTGCCAGTTGAAATTCAGTATTAATGTACTGGAGATTTATAATTCCAGCACTAACAAGATCACGTATGAAATGATATTTGATTTCAATGTGTTTAGTACGTGAATGTTGCACAGGGTTTTTAGACATGCAGATTGCACTAGTATTGTCACATAGTAGGGGAATGTTAGTTAAAACAATACCATAGTCCTGTAATTGGCTTTTTAACCATAACAGCTGAGTACAAGTACTTCCAGCAGCGATATATTCTGCTTCAGCTGTGGATAGGGCAACTGCCCCTTGTTTTTTACAGGACCAGGAAACCAGAGAAGTTCCTACGAATTGACAACTACCAGAGGTGCTTCTCCTATCAGTCAGACTCCCAGCAAAGTCAGAGTCACTGTATCCAACAAGGTCAAACTGATTATGTCTAGGATACCATAGTCCAATGTCCATGGTACCTTTTAGATATCTAAAAATACGTTTGACTGCAGATAGGTGACTTTCTTTGGGTGCTGACTGAAAGCGAGCACATAAACACACACTGTGTTGAATATCAGGACGACTAGCAGTTAGGTACAGCAAAGAACCAATCATTCCTCTGTATTTAGATTCATCCACTGGTGTTCCAGTTTCATCTTTTTCAAGTTTCAAATTTACAGCCATGGGAGTGGGGCTGGAGTTGAGTCCCATCATGTCAAACTTACTTAACATAGAAGCTATATATTTAGTTTGACTTATGAAAGTACCTGAATTCATTTGTTTAATTTGAAGTCCGAGGAAATATTGAAGTTCCCCCATCATACTCATCTCAAAATCTTCTTTCATAGAATCACAAAACTCAGAGCACATATCTTTATTGGTAGCACCAAAAACAATATCATCTACATAGATTTGAACTAAAAGAATGTCATTAGATTTGTGTTTAATAAAAAGAGTTTTATCAACTGAGCCTTGAGTAAAACCGTGCTGAAGAAGAAACAGAGTAAGTCTATCATACCATGCCCTTGGGGCTTGTTTTAGACCATAAAGAGCTTTTCTGAGTTTATAGACGTGATTAGGATGTTGATGATCTTCAAAACCAGGTGGTTGTGAAACATAAACCTCCTCTTGAATATCACCATTCAAAAAAGCACTCTTTACATCCATTTGGTAAAGAGGGAATCCCATATAGCAAGCATAAGCACATAACAAGCGAATAGACTCTAACCTAGCCACAGGGGCAAAAGTCTCATCATAATCAACTCCCTCCTCCTGTGAGTATCCTTGAGCCACTAGCCTCGCTTTATTACGAATTATATTACCAATTTCATCTGATTTATTCCTAAAAACCCATTTAGTTCCAATCACAGATTGATTTAAGGGTCTTGGAACAAGATCCCAGACATGAAGTGACTTAAACTGGGTTAATTCATCAACCATAGCAAAGAACCATTCATCATCTTTAACAGCTTCTTTAAAATTTTTAGGTTCAAATTGAGACACATAAGCATACTGTCCAGGAACATACTTACCTCTAGTTCGAAGTCCATCATGAATGTCACCAATAATTTGTTCTGCTGGATGACGCCTTTGAATGTGAGGTGGTGCAGCTATGACAGTGGCTGACGATCCTTCTTCTGTACCAGCAGTTTTGTGATTATAGTTTTCATCCTCCTTTGGACTTTTATCCAAATTATTCTCATTTGTTCCTTCTGGATTTGTGCGCATCATTTCCAGCAAGTCATACACCTGTAGCTCCTGCTCAGATTCTTGGCTCACAGGGTTAGAATCATTGAAAATAACATGGACAGACTCTTCCACTTTTTGAGTGCGTTTGTTATAGACACGATAGGCTTGACCCTTTAAGGAATAACCTAGAAATATAGCCTTGTCAGACTTTGCATCGAATTTTCCCAGTTTATCTTTGGTGTTCAAAACATGACAAGGACACCCAAAAGGATGAAAATAAGCAAGATTAGGGATCTTATCCATGAAAATTTCATAAGGGGTTTTATTTAGACCTTTCCTAATTAAAACCCGATTTGTGACATAGCAAGCTGTACTCACTGCTTCTGCCCAAAAAAATTTAGGAAGATTAAACTCAAGAAGCATAGTTCGAGCACATTCTATAAGAGTTCTATTTTTTCTCTCCACAACTCCATTCTGCTGAGGAGTTCTAGGAGCAGAAAATGTGTGACTAATTCCTGATTCATTACACAGAGTTTCAAAATCTTCTGAAATGAATTCCCCCCCATTATCACTCTTGACAGTCTTAATTTGTTGGCCAAACAGCGTGACAAACATTTTGAATTTAGATAAAGTATCATCTTTGTGAGCGAGAAAATACACCCAAGTATACCTAGAGTAATCATCTACCAACACAAACACATAATTCTTACCACCTAGACTAGTGACATTACATGGACCAAACAAGTCCATGTGAATTAGTTCAAACATCTGATTAGAGGTAATACCAGCTTTTGATTTGAAAGCTTTTCTAGTATGCTTACCACTGACACAAGTTTCACAAAAAAAATCAGTTTTGTCCTTTAAAACAGGGACTCCTCTAACTTTATTAGACTTTGTTAAGTTTACCAATTTTGGCAAACTAACATGTCCCATCTTTCGATGCCACAAGAGTTCTTGTTGAAAAGAAGTGACAAAACATAATTCATTAAACGCACTTAGATTGCTAAGATCAATCACATACATGTTATTTGATCTTTCACCAACAAACATAGTCTTTTGATCTTTATTTCTTTTTACTACGCACTTATCAGACTCAAAAACTACATGAAAACCATTACTGCATAATTGACTTATGGATAACAGATTATGCTTCAGTCCTTCAACAAGCAACACATTTTTAAAGACAGCAAAGGGTTTTTCTCCTATAGTTCCAGATCCAACAACCTTGCCACAGCCATTGTCACCAAACCAGACTTTACCTCCATTTTCAGATTTTAAGGAAGAAAAAAGAAATTTCTTACCAGACATGTGGTGAGAACAACCACTGTCGAGATACCACTTATGGTAATTCTTGTTTGACTGAGATTCTTCTTCATCTTCTTCAAACCCAGTTCTGGCCATAAATGCCTCATCTTCTGACTCAAGATTCTCTTGATCAGAATCATAATCGCTCCAGGTGGCCTTCATGGCTTTCTCCCTTGCTTTCAATGTTTGAGGACAGTGGGCTCGAATATGTCCGAGTTTCCCACATTTGTAACATGCCTGTGATTCCCTTTCTGATTGACCTGTTTCAGTTTTCCTGGTCTGCTGGGGAAGCAGCCTAGCTTGAGAAAAATTTTTAGTTCGATCATAATTTCCATTCCTAGGCTCATCTTGGCGCTGTTTTTGCTCATTTTTATATTTTAACATTCTATGAAAACGTTTGCTAACAAGAGCAAACTCTCTATCAAAGTCACTTTCTTCCTCACTTTCAGCATCATACTCCACCATTTTCGATTTGAAAGCTAAATTTTTACTACGTCTTTCATCCTCCTGACCAATCTGCTTTAACACATGCTCATGACTTAATAATGAGCCTATCAGTTCATTTATAGATAAAGTAGTCAAATTTTTAGCTTCTTCGATAGCTGTTCGCTTAGGTAACCATTCCCTAGGCAGAGATCTAAGAATCTTCCTATTCAGGTCCTTAGTTTGATAAATCTTCCCTAGCCCTTTCAGTTTGTTTATTAAAACGGTGAATCTGGAGTACATTTCATGTATCCCTTCATTTTTAGACATGCAAAAACATTCATATTCATGCACTAAAAGATCTATGCGAGATTCTTTTATGTTGGAAGTACCTTCATAGGTGCTTTCGAGAGCAGTCCAGATTTCTGAAGCCGTCGAGCAGTTCTCAACCTGGTCCGCCTCGTCTGGGTTCATCGCCGATTGCAACACATGCATGGCCCGCTGATTTAACTGCGCGCTTTTTTTCTGGGCAGCAGACCAAAAGCTCTGCTCGTCGTCGTTCATTTCGATCGGTCCATCCTGCACAACTAACCAGAGTTCTTCGTCAATTCCCCACAGAAATTGTTTCATCCGCTTCTTCCACGCGGTGTAATTAGACCCGGTGAAGATTGGCGGATGATTGATAGCAGCATGACCGAAGGAACCAGAAGCCATATTGGATCGAAACCCTGGCAGTAGTTAACTTCGTCAAGGACCTGGCTCTGATACCAATTGTAATCGAGAAAGAACTCGATCTATTTGGGAATTAGGGTTCGAAGAGAGAGAGAGTTTCAGAGAGGACGAGTTCCAGAGAGAAGGGGAAGAGATCGATTTGGGTGAATGGGAATGACTGAGTCTCTCGGTTTGGGTTATATGAAGTGGGCCAAAGTCTTGAACCGGCCCAGGTTTAAGGAACAGAATCAGTTGGGCTTGGTAAGACTATTGAGAGTCTTTCAGCCCAACACTTCCTTTAGTTACAACCCAAACAGCAGAGTAGCAACCCGACCCAAGTGACAGAGTCTCAACTCTGCTGCTCAGCTACACAGCGTCGAGAAGAACAGAGTTCTGGAAAACAGAGTGCAAGAGTAGAGCAGAAATGGAGAAGACACAGTCCGTTTTTTAACGTGGTTCGCCCAAGTGCAATGGTGTACTTCCACGTCCCAGAATATGGTCTGGGAAACCTTTTATTGAAGAATAAATCGCAACCACAAATTAACACAGAACACGCAAGAAGAAGAAGTAAACAAAATGAACAAAGAAAAGCCTTTCTGCCTTGACACCAGTTGAACCTTTGCCTCAACTTGTGTCAACCCTTTTGCAAACCTAGTGCTATGCCCTTTACCGCAATAGCTCCTACAAAAGTAATCCCAACATTATCAAACATTCGAGTATATATAGACTTCTCAATCAAGGGACTAGCCGTTGGAAGCAGAGAAGGTAGGTTCCCAATCAAGCCTATAATTTCCTTAAGTGAATCCAGTGATTGAGCTGCAAAATGGCAACGGTTAGAAATAGACAATCTCCAACTTGATTCAATCCGCTGATTTCAACAAAAGGAAGGAGAAAAAGAGCTACTGCAAACCATGGAAAGCTTTGGAATGAAGGATGGTGGGCAAAGCAAGAAGGCAAAAGCCACCTTTGGGCTCATACGCAGGGGAAATGCTTCTGATATGGAGAAGATGAAGCCCCATTTCTTCAGGGTCATGCTTGAGTTCATGCTGCAGGATTCCAAAATAGTAAGAACTCTTTTCCCTCTATGATCCTATCTGATTCTCCTGGTGATTTCATTTTTAGGCAACATTTTCTGAAGTTGTTCAGTCTGGTTTTCAAATCTACTTCCAAAGCAGAAACTTTTGTTTATGCTTGTTTAGGGTTTCAATAAAGAAGAAGAAAATGTGTGAGAATCAAGCTTGTGACTAGCTTTCTTTTGTTGGCCTGAATTTCTTTGGCAATGGTTTTTTGCTTTCCCTATCTGATCAAGTAACCCACACCAAGAACTGACAGATTGTTGCTTTGGATCAGTACATTCCGACCGAGTTTGTGAAGAGATATAGATCCAGGCTAGGCAGTTCTGCAACATTGAAGGTTGATAATGGTGATACATGGGAAGTAGAGCTGGTTACTGATGATGATGGGATGGTTTGGTTGGTCAAGGGCTGGGAAGACTTCAGAATGCACCATTCTTTGAAGCAAGGTGATATTCTGGTGTTTCGGCTAGAGCAGAACAGCTTATTTCACGTCATGGTGTTCGAACCGACTGCCAGTGAGAAGAACTATCGCCACAAGGATCTGAAAGGCCATGGAAAGCTGTTGAATGAGATCAAAGTTGAGGACGAATTTGATGTGGAGAAGGAGACAGGTAGTGGAGCTTTTGAGAAAATATGAAATTTGACAGGGTTCTGAACATGAAAGACTAACACAGAAATCTGTTTCTTTCCATGGAACAATCATTGCAGGAAAACTCAAGGAAGTGAAAACCAAGAAGAGTGGTGGAGAAGGGAAGAGAAAGGTGAAATTGGCTGCTACACTTGAGACACCAAACCATCAACTGGAGATAAAAACAGAAGGTGCATTTACTATATGATCTGTTTTCTGATGCTGTCAGTTTTTTACCTTCCCAAACTCGATTTTGCTTTGGCGGAGTAAGTTTGAATGTTTCCTTCTCGATTGGTGCATTTACATGCTTGGTCTTTTATTCTTCTAGCTTTTGACCTCGGCAAATTTGTTGATTAGTATCAACGGAGTAAATTGAATGCTTGCGCTGTCAGTTGATGCATTTTACTTACGCTCCCACAAGCTCAGAATTCGACCAAATTTGATGCAGGAATATCAGAACCAAGGAAGGCCAATGCCTCTACAAGCTCAGAGAATCCAAACTTCTTCGTCACCATAAATAAAAGTCACATGAAGCGTCGTCACATCGTAGGTCCATTCATTTCCATCACATGAATTCGCTTTTCCCCCCCAAGGAAGTGTCGCATAACACCTCTCTCTTTGCAAGTGCAGCTTCTGCCTACTAGGTTTGTGTATGAACACATGATTCCTGAACATGGTACTGTCCCTGAAAACCGTAAAGTGATGGTTTCCGATGAAAAGGGTCTCAGCTCATGGTCCTTCTCCTTTGTCTTACTACCACGACGTGGAGGTGGACGTGGACAGGCCTCGTTCAGTGGCGGTTGGCCTGCATTCCGCAATGCCAACGCTCTGAAACCAGGCGATGTTTGCCAGTTCGAGCTCGTCTTCGATGGCCAAATGAAAGTGACTATTCGGAGGGCTTAAGGTCCGGCTTTGCTGAAAGGTTGAGAACCTCTAGAATGGAGTTAGTATTGTTTGTTCGTTACATGTGTTTATTTATGGATGATGATGTCGATTATGAAACCACTACCAGCCTTAAATGGAGGGAATTAATGGGATAGTGTAGTTTCATGTGGGGGAGTGGTAAGACATTTGTTGATGCTTTATTTCAGTTTTTGATAGTAGTTCTGTTTTATGGCTTTTTCAGGGTAATCCTCTGTTATCAAATTTTAGTTTCTGATGGTAGTTCTGTCACATTTCTTATTTCCTTGATTGTGTTGTGGATTGTATGTTCGTGATCCATCCGTGTGATAGTCTGCTATGGATCGAATTCGAAAGGCTTTCCAGTCCAGCAGTCGCTGGCTGTCTCCTAAACGTATCCATGGCTCTCGACAAGAAGGTTGTAAGCGAACAATCTCTTCACCATATTTTGCCCATTCGTTTCAACATTGGAGCTCGATTTTGTGCTTTACATCTTCGAAGACGATGTTCGAAATTGGAGCTGGGAGGTCCGTGCGTCCTATTGTTGTGGCAGTAGAAATACTAGCAGTGGTTGCTTGGAGCTACCATTTTTCGTCCAGAGGTTTATAGTGATATCCTAGAACTCTACTTTATGGCAATGCCAAACTGTGATCTACGAGTAAGGTATTGATATCTGCATATGAATATGAGAGGAATTCTTGAATTTGCTTGAGCTGACGACTGATAGACCCTCTTCGGGCAATGGACTAAGTACCGAGGATCGAATACTGGTTTTTGAAAAAGAACCCAAATGCATAAAGGTGAATACTAATCAAGTATTGAGCATTGAATTTGGTGAGACCTTTGCACCAGTTGCAATTGTGAAATCAGTTTCAGCATGTCTAAGAGAGGGAAATTCACCAACTTGACGCATAGACATAATACTTTATCTGCGTTCCTTGTCAAGGAGATAGCTATTTTCGTCACTGGTTGACTGGTATAAAAGATGCATTTTCGCAGCTACTTTACGTCCTGTTTGAACATTATTGTGTGGCTGCAGGAGAATCTTAAGGAAGCAACGGTGTTTGACTGGACCATGTTTGTTTGACTAGAGTTGGTTTCACCTTACTGATCTCATTGATCCTAATTCCGGTTGACTCAGTTGGCCCATATTTTTCGAGGATCATGATCTTCAAGGAGGCTGACTTTTCTGAAACCTCAGAGACTGTCAATGGAGAGAAGTGCCCTACTTCAGGATCCAAGTGGGAAAGTGTGGCCTGTTTCTGTAATCTCAGGATCCATTTGGGGACTAAAGTAGTTGTTAGGGTTCCTCGTCTCCTCTTTGATGAAAGAGTAGAAAGAGTAAACATTGATTCAGAAGAAATGAGCTTTTCACCTCTATTTCATTTGGGACCACAGTTTTGGAGTTACTGCCTCAGTAGTTTCAGGAAAGCTTAAAATGTGATGGACTGATGGTGGCAAAAGGTGAGAGTAAATATCCAATTTCTCAAAATGGCTACAAGTTAGAATAACTGATGTATGTGTCAAAAAATAAAGGAGATGCCATTGATCAGAGCATTTAACAACTATTCTGCATGAAAAGATACCGTCTCTTACAAAAGACTTAATATCCCATTACTGAACAACAGAGGTCTTCAGTATATTGCTGCAGTTTCATACTTGTAGGAAGAGAGAAGAAGGGGAAGGAGAAGAAGAGCAACAACAGCATGGAAAGCTCTGGAAGGGAGGATGGTAGCCAGAACAAGAAGACAACCTCCTTTGGCTTAATACGCAGGGGAAATGCTTCGTATATGGAGAAGATGAGGCCCCATTTCTTCAGGGTCATGCTTGATTTCATGCTTCAAGATGCCAAAATTGTGAGAAATCTTTTCCTTTTCCCTCTCTCTACCTGCTCACCCTTAGTATGTTATGAACTCCAATTTGACGGCTGTTTTGACTTTCGTCAAAATTTCTCTATGCATTTGCTTAGGGTTTCTATAATCAAGTATATAGAAGAATAGGTGAATGATGGCCCTCTAGCCTCTTCTGTAAACATGAAGCTTGTGGGTTTGCATTTCCTTGCCAGTGGGGTTTCTCCTATTTTCATACAACTCTTACCCTCTGGGATTCTTTCTCATTCCACTATTGATTTCCTTTTTCTGCAACATATTCTGAAGTTATCCAGACTGGTTGGTAAATCTATTTACAGAGCTGAAAACTTCTGGGTTTGTTTAGGGTTTTATAAAAGAAGCAAATGTGTGAAATCTTGCTAGTAACTAGCTTTGTTTTGTTACATCTGCATTGCTTTGGCAACAGGTTTTGTGTTTTCCCTTTCTGATCAAGTAACCGGCACTAAGAACTGACAAATTGTTGTTATCAGTACATTCCCACCGAGTTTGTGAAGAGATATAGATCAAGGCTTGGGAGTTCTGCAACACTGAAAGTGGCTAACGGCGAGACATGGGAAGTAGAGCTGGCTACTGATGATGACGGGCTGATATGGTTGCTCAAGGGCTGGGATGACTTCACGAAGCACCATTCTTTGAGGCAAGGTGATATTGTGGTTTTCCGGCTTGAGCAAGACAGCTCGTTTTGTGTAATGGTGTTCGATCCCACTGCGAGTGAGAAGAAGTACAATGTCAAGGATGCGAACGACCTTGTAAGGATGCTCAAGGAGGTCAAAATTGAGGAGGGAATTGATGCAGAGAAAGAGAAAGGTTGTGGGGAGGGTCAGGAGAGGGTTGGAACTGGAAGAATGGAGGAGGTTGAAGGTATGGAACTGCTGAGAAGAGGTAAAATTTAAAGGTTCACGTCAGAAATTTGTTTGTCCATTTAACACCAATTTTTGTAGAGCGGCTCAAGCAAGTGAAGGACAAGAAGAGTGATGGAGAAGAGAACAGAAAGGGGACATTGGCTTCTCCACTTGAGATCCCAAACCATCCATTGGAAACAAAAGTGACAGGTGCTTTTACTATATAGGCTTTGTCTTGTGCTGTGAGTTTTTGACCTTTCAAAAATTATTAAGTTTGCCTTGGCAGACTGAGCTGAATGTTTCCTTCTCGATTCTGTGCTGCTAGCTTTTACCCTTCGCAAGTTTGTAGCTTTGCATCAACAGAGTAGATTGAGTGCAGGCATTCTCAATTGATCCATTTTACATATCTGTTCACATGCTTAGAATTTGATCGAATTCGGTGCAGGAATACCTGAACCAAGGAGGGGCAATGCCTCTACAAGCTCAAAGAATCCAAACTTTTCCATCACCATAACTGAAGGTCACATGAAGCATCGTTACATTGTAGGTTCATTCATTTCCATCGAACGAATTCACCTTTTTTTTATTTTGGGGAGCAAGTTCTGCATAACCAAAATTTGAAAGCTACCTCTCTTTGATCGTGCCGCAGCGCCTGCCAGTTATTTTTGTGTTTGAACACATGATGCCTAAAAATGGTACTATGCCCAAAAATCGTACTATGACGGTTCTCGCTGAAGACGGGTCCAGCTCATGGGAGTTGTCCTTTGTCTTTCATCAACCATGTAAACGTGGACGTGGACGTGGGCAGGGCTCATTCGCTGGCGGTTGGGCCGCATTCTCCAGGGACAACTCTCTGAAACCAGGGGATGTTTGCCGGTTTGAGCTCATCTCCGATGGCCTAATGGAAGTAACTATTCAGCACAATTAGAGCTGGTTGGATATGCTGAAAGTTTGAGAGCCTCTAGAATGGAGTTTGTTGTGTTTTCCCATTTTGTGTGTTTATCAATGGCTTATGAAGCCAATGCTAGTTTTTTAACTAGAGAATTCATGGGATAGTGTAATTTGGTAAGGCGTTTGTTGATGTTTTGCTTCAGTTTCTGAAGCACGCCATGTGCTTTGTTTTATGTTTTATACAGGGCAAAACTCTGTTATCAAGTTAGTTTCAGATGTTAGTCTTGTTGCATTTGATTACATTGAAAGAATGTTGTATCTATTACCCTGTTATTACCGTTGGTCACCACTTCGGTTAGCGTGTTTACAATGATTTTTTTAACATGTACTTATGTTGTTGAATCATGTCTTTATTCACATTAGATAGATACATTAACAAAAACCCCTATTGAGCATCGTAGCTAAAAGTACTGTTAAGCCGTCAAACACAATTCATGGGGGACTCCAGGATCCCAAAACAAAGCACTAGCACAGCCTTAGCAGTTAGCACTTTTCTAACTTAACGCATTAATCCCTAAACCACAAAAGCTTCAAACACAAGCAAACCAAACCACAGCCTCAATGCCTCTTGACAGTCACCTTCATTTGGCCATTGGAGGTGAGCTCGAACCTGCAAACGTCTCCTAGCTCCAGAGAGTTGTCCCTGCGGAACGCAGGCCAACCTCCACCGAAATGGCCCCTTCCATGGGTGCGTCCAGTGCGTCCACTGAAGATAAAGGACAAGTCCCACGAACCCGACCCGTCTTCAGCAGAAACCTTCACAGGGCCACTTTCAGGCCTCATGTGGTTGTGCACGAAAGCAGTCGGCAAGGTCTTCACAGTCAGCAAGAGAGAGATATCCGTCAAATTTTTATGGTGCAGACGAAGCCTGCTTGAAAATAAATTTCTATCCCTTTGATATGAATGAATCAACTTACTGTAAAGCCCCTCTTCATGTTATACTCTGTTATGTTAATGGAGAAGCTTGGATTTGTCGAGCTTGTTGAGGGATCGTCCCTCCTTGGTCTCGGTGCTCCTGCATCATAGGGAGTCATGAAAGCATTCAACTCACCATGTTGATCCGAATTACGTATTGCCGAGGTTACACCAACTCGTAGCATCGATCACAACACAATGTGTATGGTAAGGTTAAAAGAACATTCAACTCAATTTGCCCATTTGGGAAGGTTAAAAAACTCACAGCATCATAGAAAACAAAGCAGATAGTAAGTGTTACCTCTCATTTTTGTCTCCAATGGATGGTTTGGAATCTCAAGTGGAGCAGCCAAATTTGCATTCCTCTTCTCTTCTCTACCACGCTTCTTGGTTTGCACTTCCTTGAGCTTTTCTGCAGGGATTGGTCCATGGAAAGATACAAATTTCCGCATTAGTCTTTTGTGTACAGAACGTTCTGTTCAACAATACAATGCCCTGCAACATTGCCAAATGTTCTCAAAAAGTTCCACAACCTGTATCCTTCCCCACATCAATCTCCTCTTCAACTTTGACATTAAGCAGCCTTCCATGGTAATTTACATGCTCACTACTGTACTTCTTCTCATTCCCAGTGGGTTCGAACACCATGACGTGAAATAAGCTGTCCTGTTCTAGCCGGAACACCACAATATCACCTTGCTTCACACAATGGTGCTTTGTGAAGTCTTCCCAGCCTTTGACAAACCAAATCAGCCCATCATCATCAGCTGCCAGCTCAACTTCCCATGTATCACCATTAGCAACCTTCAACTTTACAGAGCTGCCTAGCCTGGATCTATAGTTCTTCACAAACTCGGTTGGAATGTACTGATACAAAGCAACAATTTGAGGGTTCTTGATGCGGATTACTTGATCAGATAGGGAAAACAAAACCCATTGCGAAAAGCAATGCAGCCCAACAACAGAAAGCTAGTTACACGCTAGATTCTAAACATCTGCTTCTTTTATGAAACCCTAAACAAGACTTTTCAGCTACCAGACTGAACAACTATAGAAAATGTCGCAGAACAAGGAAATCATCCGTCGTACCGGAAAGGATTAATGAGGCGAAAAGAGTTCTTACAATTGTGGCATCTTTTAGCATGGAATCAAACATGACCCTGAAGAAATGGGGCTTCATCTTCTCCACATCAAAAGCATTTCCCCTGCGTGTTATCCCGAAGGTGGCTTTGGCCTTCTTGTTCTGCCCACCATCCTTCATTCCAAAGCTTTCCACGATTTGCAAGCAGCTCTTTTCCCCCTTAATTTCTTCTTCTCTCCTTCAGTCTCCTTCTTTAGCTTATGGTTCCAGCTCTATAATTTTACTTTAAGTTCTCTTATGCGATTGGTATTTGATTTCTGTCTCAAGGATAATACTCTTGCCCTGAAGTGACAGATTTGACACGATGTAAAGTCATGGTAGTAGCCTTTTCTCGCATGGTTGTTTTTTTATTTTTTTTTATTTTGTTTGAAAAAAGTGCAAGCACCTCGGCCTCAATTACTTAACTTTGCGGACAACAAATCCGCCAACATAGTCATACAAAAGCCAGCGGTCAACGTCCGGGCTACTAACACTGAAAGAGATCGATCCCGGGTCTAACAGGTGACCCTGGTGAGCAAGACAGTCGGCTTAGCCTCCCTATAGATATGGCGAACTACAACCTCCCAGTCTCTGCGAACTAGTTCACGAAACTCTAGAACCAGGCTCGCTTGCTGGTGGGTCGTTGGTGCTTTCGGCGATAAAAGTTGTACTGCAGTAATGGAATCAAGCTGGAGCTCAACTCTGCGGTGACCTGTATCCCAGGCCATATGAAGCCCTCGGATGGCGCCCCAGATTTTTGCTCGAGTAATGGTACATCTTCCCAGATTCATTGAGAAACCCCCCAGTAAGCAACCCTGCCAGTCTCTAAGTGCGCCCCCTGCAGCGGTAGACCCTGACAGTCTCAAGAGAGAGCCGTCAGAGTTCACTGTGATCCATCCTGTCGGAGCCGGTCTCCACCCAACAGCCATATCTCGACTCGGCTCCGACCTCCCTAGTGAAATAGTGTGGTCCGCTGATTTACTTCTCTGCGCAACGACCTCCCAGGCGAGGATCTTTTGCGTCAACTTACTAGAGGATTCCTCAATGGCTGAAAAGACATAATCATTTCTCGAGCGCCGTAGGAACCAGCACGTGAGGCCGAACCGTACCTGGTGGTTATGGCTGCGTAGAAGGTCCATGAACCAAGACTTCATGTCCCTTCGATCCGAAGCTCGAACTGCCGCCGGGAGCACCTGTTGCCATACTTGCTTCGCGTAGCTGCACGTACGGAGAGTGTACTCAATAGTCTCCGTCCCCGTCTTGCATCGTGGACAAGTAGTTGATGTTGCTAGGTGGCGCCTCTGTCGCTCGGCATTGGTGAGGAGAGAATCATGCACCGCGAGCCACAGAAAATGTCTGACCCTATTATGGCCTGGCCATCTACACACGTCCCGCCAGCCGGAGTCCTCGTCGTCCCTGTCCACCTCGGCTACAAGTTGATAGGTTGACCGAATAGTGAAGTTTCCTTTTTCTTCAAGGCCCCAAACAATGGCATCATCTCCCAAGTTGGGTTTCGGTGGAGGGGTCCCTACAACCTGCAAAACAAAATCTCTAGGTAAGAATTGTTCGATCAAGGGCAGATTCCATTCACCTTCAGGAGTAGTCATCTCGGCTACTCTTGCTTCGCTTTGGAAGCCTGGCTTTGTCGTCCAAGCATTGTCCACTAGCGCCACACCGCTGTCCAACCACTTATCCTGCCAAAACAGAGTTGTTCTTCCATCCCGAACACTCCAGCTAATTCCTTCGAACATCAATCCCCATACCCGCCGGACACCTCTCCACAAATGCGAGCATTGCGTCTTCCGGCGTAGCTCGACCCCATTATGGTCCTCCTTGAGATACTTCTCCTTCAACACTCGGACCCACAACTCATCCGGTTGCTTGAGGATGGACCAGGCTAGCTTCAAGAAATAAGCCGTGTTCAGTTCCCTCGCCATCCGCAAGCCCAGCCCTCCCTGTTTCTTTGGAAGACACAGAGTTTCCCAATTAACAAGGTGTATCCGTCGGAGTCCCTGCTGCGATCCCCATACAAATGCCCTTATTTTGCGATCGATGTAATCGCTAATCCCCACGGTTATTAGAAATTGGAATCGATAAGGTATCGGTATGTCAATACCAAATATTAAAATTTCGAATATCTAATTTAGGGTAAAGATATTAGGCAAAATGTATTGAGTTCGCCTAGAACTAGAACATGGATAAGGAGAAGCGTAGAGATGGCGACATCTCAATTTCTTATCATTTGTAATCTTTAATTCTCCACATTGGAGGCCGAGAGACGACTAATGAGAGTATTGTATGTTTTTTGCCTTATCTTATGAAAATAAGAAGAGATTGAGCGAAAGCCGAGTGACTTAAACTGGAAAGCCAAAAATTGGTTGAATGAGAGCTTGTGAGTTGTCAAAGAGTGAGGAATGACCAACGATTGTGTGCTATATTTCATTAATTTTTAATTTTTGAAACTAATCTCTAAAAAATGAATTGATATTCGGTAATACCAAATAGCGATAAGTTCGGTACGGTATTCGGTATATCTCATATTCTGGTACCAAACTTCCAGCCCTAGTTGTCATGTAGGTGGTATGCCCGTCATAACAAATTTGTTGGAATGACTTTTTCGCATGATTTTAATTTATAAAAAGAATTATATTTATATTTATTTCTTGAATTCGAAAGTTAAATTTTGATGTTATTTGTTGGATTAAAGTATAAATGTTTGGACGTTTATGTTATTTGTTGAATTCAAGTATAAACTTTTGGATTTTGACATTAAATGTTTTATTTAAATATGATAATTTTTCATTTTGTATGGAATGTTGTATTATATTAAATATGAATGTAGATATTAGAGAGATTGTCTTCAAATATGTCATTTATATATACAAACTCCGGTCAATTTAAGGTATAGATATTTTTTTTTTTACTTTAGATATGCCATACTTTTAATTTTACTCATTGTACGATAGAAGGCATGTTGTGCCTTTGATTTTATTCAGACTGGTGTGCGTCAGGCGTATACTATACGTCAGGTACTACTAGTGAGATATCTCTATCTAGACCATGAATTAAATCGAGTTTGAGGTATGATACTATACCCTAACCTCTAATGGATAAACCCCAGGCACCGATTTTCTAAACCCTAACCCGAAGTTAGATTTAATGAAAAACAAAAATTGATCGTTGAGATCGGCCGGAGCTCATCTAACCACATCTAACGGCTAGATCACCTGACGTATAGTATACGCCTGACGTACACTAGTCATCACTATATATATATATATATATGGTTCATCACTATATATATATATGGTGGCTACTTCGGTGCACTTGCTTTTTAGGGTGCATTGAATGCACTCAACTCTAAAGTTAGTCATAGACATCAAATTTTGAATTTTAACTGGTAGCATTAGTATAATATGATGATATAACAAATGATCACAACTAATCAATCAATTACCTTAACCCCTAAACCTTCAATTTCGAACACCAACCCAAAATCCCAAAATGTGAACCCTAACCCTAATCCTAAATTCATAAATCTTAAATCCTTCAAATCAAAGTAAATATTTAATGATTTTTTTTGTAAATTTATGGGGTTTCATGTCTATCATATCACAAGTAATGATTGACATCGTTTTGACATGAATCCCCTATTCAAAATGGCGATTATGAGACGGGTGCACTGAATGCACCCAAAAAGTGAGTGCACCGAAGACACCGTCATATAGATATATAAAAGCTTGATGTAGCCTAGGTCATTGGCACTTTGATTTAATTTGATGTCTATATGAAATCTAATAAAATTATCTATAATTTACAATTAAAAAAAACAATTCATTTCTTTACATTTCCATACATGCTATCTAGTCAACAAATTATTTCATTTATTTTCATATTATGATATCTAATTTCTTCAAATCATCACACTTAAACATCGAAAAGTTTCTCCTTCAAAGTATTTATAACTTCGCACCCATATTCTTGGGGTGCAAAAAAGCATGGTTGTTATACTGGTGGCGTGCCGGCCAGTTGAACTTGGTTCAACATGTATTGGTCATGAAACCGACATGATACCACTAGTATGATAGACATGATCGATATACGACTTCTAAGCAACATGACGTCGTTTTAGTGAATATAATTAATAAAAATATAATTTATTATTTATTTTATGAATTTAACCATTAATATTTGATGTTATTTGTTGGATTTAAGTATAAATATTTGTATATTGACATTAAATATTGAATTTAAATTTTAGCATTTGTTATTTTGTTTGAAATATTGTATTTTATTTGAATATGTATATGGATTGTAAGTAAATTATCTAGAAATATGTTTTATATAAGGTAAATGCCATGTTTGGTCACTGGGTTTACTAAAATGTGTCGTATTTAGTCATTGGAAAAAATTCATATCAATAAGGATCACTAAGTTTAGTAAAACATGTCACGTTTAGTCACTCTCCATTAACGAAATCCGTTATGTGTTAATGTGGCAGAGGAAATTGCCTTGTCACCTATTTTTAACCTAAAAAAAATAAAATTCGACCCTACCTTAAATACATGTCACATCATGAAACCTAACCATGGTCACCCATTATCCCGTGACCCAACCCACACTTAAAAAGTTTATCACTCCGCAAAATCCCTCGCCAGTCAATAGAGAAGAGGGCCGGAAGAAGCTCTTGTCGCCGCGCTCTCTGTTTCGCATAGGGATGGCAATGAGGCGGGTTTGGGGCGGGTTTGCCTAAACCATCCCCATCCCCATCTTCAAATACCCAAACCCATACCCGCCCCATACCCATGTGGGGAATGTTTTGCAAACCCATCTCCATACCCGTGGGTTTCGGGTACCCATGGGTAATACCCATCCTCGTACATCCAACATTATTATACCTAAAACTTACAAGAAAAGTTTTAATTATAACCATAAACAAACCTATTAATTATATCATGAAGTCGACAAAACACGGTCATTTTCTAAATACGATTCAAAGAATATGATCCTAAAACATCCATTAATACATAATATAGAATACAATATTTTTTAAATTATTATGCTCTAACTCTTAATACATTTACTAAGTAATAATTAACTAACATAATCTTGTTGACAAGAGGGAAAGTGAAAGAATGGAAGGAGAATTGAGGGAAATGAATTAGGTTTTGATTAAGGTGGTTACTCAATTGCATTTCTACTATTTATTTTCTCGAGTTATCATCATCATCATTGATAGATTACAATTTAATCCACATATTTTTTGATATGTGAAGAAATTCTCTTGGTGGGGAGGGTATGGGTATGGGTATGGGGCGGGGGAGGCTAAAACCATACCCGCCCCATACCCATCAAATTTTTTGCGGGTTTTACCCATACCCGCCC